CTGTCTTGGAAGACAAACAGCAAAGCATTCAGGGAAGAGAGGGTGACCAGTTGGCTAAGGGCCAAAGAGCTAGGAGAGAATATTGAATTAGGCATGAGGAGGGCACTGATGATCTTGATAAGAGCAATTTGAGTGGCAGGGTGGGGACGAGGGTCCTTCTAGGGAGGTTGCAGAATGAATGAGAGAAGAGAAATCAGAGACAGTTTAGACACTCTCTCAATGTGCAGGTTGTGAAGGGAGGGGAGGGGAGGAGAGAGATGGTGGCTAGAGGGGCAGTAAGATCAAGAAAGGTTTGCTTGTTTGCTTGCCTTCAGGTAGGAGTAGGAATGGCTTATTTATATACTCGTGAGAATGACACGTCTGGTTCCTTGAGAAGATCAGTAAAATTGATAAAGCCCTGGCCAAACGAATTAGGGGAAAGAGAAAAGTCAAATTACCGATACTGGGAATAAAAAGATGTCATCACCACAAGTTCTACAGATACTGCAAGGATAATAAGGGAATGTTGTGAACTACTTTGTCCCAATAAAATTGACATCGTGGGTGAAATGGACAAATTCCTTGAAGGACTCAACTACCAAAATTCTTAAAATCTGTAAAATTTTTAGACAAGGACGAATCTAGATACAAAGTATGTTTGCTGATGTGTCTGCTATTGCCACATTCTATCCTTTTGCAAATCCCTCTCCTGCCCCTACCTAGACAACTCAGGCTGGCATACATGGCAGACCTATCATCCTTTTTTTTGCCCATCCCCAAAAGAACCCCAGAGAAGCCCCTCGACCTTGCTTAGCCAGGACAGCCTCAGCCCCGGGCATCATGTGACCACCAGGGGGCGGCCTTGGTCTCTAGACGGCCACGGAAAGGGCTAGAATGAGCATGGGGAAAGCCGCAGGTACTTAAATGCCAGAATGAGTAGTGCGGGCATCTGGGCTCTAGAGGGCAGTCTTTCTTTGTGAAAAGAGGGTAACCAGCCCTGCCGGTGTGGCTCAGTGGTTGAGCATGGACCCATGCACCGAGAGGTTGCCGGTTCGATTCCCTATCAGGGCACATGCCCAGGTTGTGGGCCCAATCCCCAGTGGGGGGCATGCAGGAGGCGGCCAATCAATGTTCTCTCTCATCGATGTTTCTATCTCTGCTTCTCCCTTCCTCTCTCAAATCAATAAAGAAAAAAAAAAATTTTTAAGGTAGTATCTTGACTGAGTGGGGTTTATTCTAGGAACACAAGGTTGATTTGACATTTGAAAATCAATCACTGCAATTCATCAAATTAACACATTTTAAAAGATGCAGAAAAAGCATTTGACAAAATCCAACATCCATTCTTGACAAAAATTCTCAGTAAGTTAGAAATATAAGAGAACTTCCTTAACCTGATCAAGGACATCAATGAAAAACCTACATTTAACATGTTTAATAATTAAAGACAGAACGCTTTCCCTTTAAAATCAGGAACAAGACGAGGCTGTCTGCTCTCACACTTCCTATTCAGCATTGAATGAACCAGAGTAATTGTTTAAATTTTTATTGAATTTATTGAGGTGACATTGGTTAATAAAATGTTACAGGTTTCCGGTGTACAGTTTATAATACATCATGTTTATCATATTGTGTGTTCCCCACCCCAAGTCAAGACTCCTTCTGTCACCATTTATCCCCCTTTACCCTCTTCTACCCACCCCCTCCCTCTGGTAATCACCACACTGTTGTCTGTGTCTATGAGGGTTTTTAATCCCTTCACCTTCCCCACCCAGGGCCCCCAAACCCCTCACCTCTGAGAGCTCTCAGTCTGTTCTCTGTATCTGTGAGTCTGTTTCTATTTTGTTTGTTAGTTTATTTTGTTCATTTGATTCCACATATAAGTGAAATCATATGGTATAGAGAATCCAGAAATAAACTCACACGTATATGGACAATTGATTTTCAACAACTCTGCAAAACAGGTCAGTGGAGAAAAGCTCGTCTTTCAACAAACGGTGCTGGAGCAATTGGATATTCACGTACAAAATACATGAATTTCAAGTCGTTCCTTGCACCACATACAAAAATTAACTCAAGCCCTGGCTCAGTGGTTAGATCGTCGGCCCATGGACCAGAGAGTCCTGGGTTCGGTTCCCACTAAGGGCATGTACCTCGGTTGCAGTTTGTCCTCAGCCCAGTTGGGGTCATGCGGGTGGCAGCCAGTCGATGTGTCTTTCTCACATCGATGTTTCTCTCTCTCTCTTCCTCCCTCTCTCCCTTCTGCTCTGTCTGAGGATAGACACACACAAAAAAATGTCCTCAGGTGAGGATTAAAAAATAAATAATAAATAAATAAAAATGACTGCTTTGGATCCTCGGTTGAATCTGCAGATGCGAAGGACCAACTATAGTTAAATTGGGGGGCATCAAAGTTATTCCCAGAGTTTTGACTGCCCAGGGACTGGCACCTCCCAACGCATGGATTATTCAAGAGTCAACAGTACATTTCTCTATGAAGCCATGTACATAAATGTTCACAGTGGCTCTATTTGTTATTCTTACAATAACAAATAGAAACAAGACAAATGTCATCAATAGGTGAATGGATACATAAACTATGGTACAGAAAAAGGAATGGACTACTGATATATGCTACACAAAATAAATGAATCTCAAAATACTTAAGTAAAAGAACCCAGACAAATGAAAATTACATGCTGTATAGGTTCACTTCTATAAAATTTTAAAAAATACAGAGAAATTTAAAGAGACAGAAAGCAGACCCATGGTTCCCTGGGAATGGGTTAGGGGATTGGTGGGAAGGGCTATAACGAAGGAATTACTAAAGGACAAGAGGAAATGTTTTAGGGTGATGGATACATCCATTAATTTTGGTAATGGTTTTATCAATGATGTATTTGTTGCTTTAAATATGTGCAGTTTATGTTAGGTATACCTCAATAAACAGCTAAAAAATAAGTTTGAGGAATATTGTATTTGGGATTTTTATACAAAGCCCATCTTCCTTAATGCCTTTTATTGTTCTTTTTGTCTTGTAACCATATACCAAACATGTCCCAAATCAAAGCCCACAAATCTCGTTTCACAAATATTGCGGCCTGCACTAATGTCCTCATCTTCTATGTGCACCGTGTGTGGGAAGAGGGCTCGTTTTGAGGGTCATTCTTCCATTCCTGAGATGTCATTGGCTTTTAAGCACAAAAGAGCGCGACAAAGGGGGCGTCCCGACCACAGGCCTGACACAGTCCTTGCCACCTGCTCCATTTTGCTTCCTAGAGAGGCAAATGACTGAGGTTTGGACAAAAATAAAAATGTCCACTGGAGCTCAGCCATCTGAGGACACCAGCCATGATCCCTGGTACACATAAGCAGCATGAAGTAGAAGGGTGTGTGTGGTGGTGGTGCAAAGAGGACAGCAAGGTTCCAGGAAAGTGACTTTGGATAAGTAGACTCAGTCCCAAACTCTCAGTGCCTCTGCATCCCCTGTCCCAGGGCCACTCTCAGCATGGAGCACATCCTCAGAGAACAGACAGGGCCCAGGAGCCACGAGGCCATCAGCCAGACAGAGTGTGGCCTGGCCTAGTGTCCAGAGGTCAAGATGGGGGCCAGGCAGAGGCTCTAGCAGTCACTGCAGCTGCCCCTGGTTTTGCACACCTCGTACCACGTGTCCACGAGGCAGCAGAGCAGAGGGCCTGAGCGCCCCAGGAGGTTCTATCTGGGTTCATGTGGCTTTGTCTATCAGCCGTGCGCCTCGGGCAAGTTACTTAACTGCTCTGTGCCTCAGTTTCTTCAGCAATAAAATGAAGATAAGAATGACCACACAGCCCTGGCCAGTTTGGCTCAGCAGTTAGAGCGTTGGCCTGCGGTCTGGAGAGACCCGGGTTTGGTTCCTGCAAAGGGCACGTGCCTCAGTTGCAGTTTGTCCCCTGCCCCGGTTGGGTTGTGTGGGTGGCAGCTACTCGATGTGTCCCTTTCACGTCGATGTTTCTCTCTTTCTCTTCCTCTCTCTCCCTCCCACTCTATCTGAACAAAAAATAAAAAAAAATGTCTTTGGGTGAGGATAAAAAAAAAAAAAATGACCACATACAGTTGTGAGAATTAAAGAAATTAATATCTGTAAGATTTTTAGACAAGGATGAGTCTAGATACAAAGTATGTTTGCTGATGTGTCTGCTATTGCCACATTCTATCCTTTTGCAAATCCCTCTCCTGCCCCTACCTAGACAACTCAGGCTGGCATACTTGGCAGACCAAGCATCCAACCACTTGACTCCTGGGTGTGCTGGACATTTCCCTCAACACCCTTAGATCAAGTTCATCAGGTTTGGGGCTCTTGTTGACTTATTTCCATTGCCCTGGCTACTAAGAACCTCATATGAAATCTCGAATCAAAGCCTTGTGGCAGAAAGGTATAGGTGAACTGATCCATGTAGGTCCTGCTGTCTCCAGCAGGGGGCAACCAGCACCAAGCTTTGCTTGGCATTACGTGTCATTTGGCCCAACCCCAGTCCCTGGGAACAATATGCTGCTTACTGAAGGAGCCATGGGTGGATCTGTGGGCACTGCTCCGTCCCGACCCCTGACTTTCCTAGCTCCCATCTGCCCCACTTTCCGGAACATCATCCTCATGCCATAGGTGGCTTGGCCTCAGTTTCCCCATCTGTAAAGTCATCTCTGCCTCCTCCCCTGAGGTTTCCCATAAGCAAATTCCTAGCACGAAAGGCAGGCGCCAGGCCCAGCCCACAAGCTCAGAGGAGAAAAGCCATTTCCTTAAGTGGCAACCAAAGAAGGAGAGGCCGTTCCAGCCCAGCAGCAGACAGCCTCGGGCCAGCTGCAGATGTTCCCAGGCCTGTGTCCCAAACTGTTCCGAATCTTGGCCCCTAGGTGCACGCCTTCTTCCTGCACCAGGGGGCCGCCAAGCCCACATTCAAGCCTTCCTCGTCCCCTCCCCACCCAACAGCACAAATGAAAGACACACAAAAAAATCATGTCTTTATTGTTTAATTAATAAACTCACTTGGAGGGGCAAAAGTGGAGTGCATAGGAAACACCCGGCTTTGATTAGTCAGAAACTCCTGTTAACTGTGTACAAAATAAATGTTACAAAATCATGTAAAAAACAGGATCAAGCAAAGCAGGAGCCCATGAGGAGGGCTCAAGGCACCTGGAGGCTGAGTACGGGCCCCTGGGGCATGGACGAGGGCCTGGGGCCCGGGGTCTGCACCCTCCCTTCTGTCACCGCAGGGCACACCTGTTCTCCTCTCTCCCCATTTACAGGTCACTAAAAGACACACCCAGAAGGGCATAAACATGAGGCAAGGCACTGCCAGAAGGGAAACAGCCCTGAGTTGAGCGCTGACCCTTCCGCGGCGGCCCAGGCCTAGCGAAGGGCCACCCTCATACCCAGTGTCCAACGATGTGAGCAGACACAGAACTCAAGCTGGGTAGGACCTCAGGCTCTGTCCTCCGGGCAGGCAGTGGCCATGGGAGGCCTGAGCCGGCCACCAGAGCAAACAGCCTGGGCTTTGGCCAGTGCGGACTGGGAAGAAGGACCACTGTCCCATCCAGCCCCCACGACACGGCGCTCCGCTGGCACGTCCCACTGGGGCCACTGCCCCAGGCCAGCCCTAGCTGGGGTAGCACATGCAGCATCCTGTGCCTGCTGTCTCCACTCTGGGCTTGGCCCCAGGCCCCAGGAGCCCGTCGGTGACCGAGTACTCCGTGATGATGTCTTCCACCCGGGTGATGTACAGGAGCGTCATCAGTACCCCCAGGAACTGAGAAGAAGGCGCAGGATGGGTGAGAGCCTGCTGGGAATCTGGGCAGCGCTCTCTGGCAGTCCCAGCTCCCAGAAACCCCGGCAGCCAGTCACGAGCGCTCGTGGCACCGGTGACCTGGGAAACCCGGGAGCCCAGCCTTCTCCCCAGCACCCCTCTCCCCTGCCCAAGCAGCCCACTCTGGGCCCTCCTCTGCCCTCCCAGCAAATCCCAGAGACCTTCCCTGTGCCCATCAGCAGAGGTTTCTCCATTTGGGGATTCCTGTCTCCACCCAGCTATGCCACTCACCATCTGGAGGACCTTGGGCAAGTCACTTAATTTTGCCGAGCCTCAGTTCCCTCCTCTGTGAAACGGGTACGATAGTACCTACCTCGCAGAACTGAAGCGGGTAGTGCCTGTGAAGCGCTCCGAAGCTTTACAAGCGATGCTACCGCCGTTTGCCCTCTCCTCTCAGCCCTCCGGCCTTCCCGGGGTGAGCCCAGATTGCCAGTACAGAGCCTTCTTCCTGCCCCTCAACCTCCTCGGCATTCTGTAGCCACCTGCCCCCCGCCCCGGCGCCAGCTGCCCTCCCTGAGTGGGGCGGGACCAGCCCACCTGGGGGAGCAGGATGCCCAGCAGGAGGCCCGCCATGAACGTGTAGTTGTCCATGAACCAGATGATCACGGCGTTGGTGCAGCCCCGCACGTGGATGACGTCCTGCACGCTGAGGCGCTGCCCAGAGAGGAGCCCGGCTGAGTCCCAACTCTGCCACTCACCGAGGTCGGGCCGTTCCCGCAACCTCCCCGAACCGCAGTTTCTCACATACAGTGTGAGAAGGTGGTTCTAGACCACTGGGTCTCAACGGGCAGTCGTGTTCCTGAGAGAGCACTGTGGTGGCACTTCTGGCTGTCACAGGGAATGGGGTTGGGGACTGAGGAACTTCAGAGCTAAGGACAATTCCACACCCCCCACAAGGTCCCCCCTGCCTGCCTCTCAGACGGCCCCCAGGCATTCCTGTGGGGAAACCCTTTCTTCACTGTCTGAGCCAGAAGCCTAACTCCAGGCCCACGAAAACCAAAGTGTTTGCCACAGGATTTTACTGTATACATAAATTTTGCAGAAATACTACTGTGTAAATTAAGGAACAATTTTCCTTCATTTTGTTCAGAACTTTATCGAGAATTGTTCACCACGTCAACTGCAGAAATAATGCCCGTGGCGTGCAAGTTGACAACATACCCCGCCCCCTCCCCCCCCCCCCCCCCCCCGCAGCAGCTGCCCCTGCGGTGCAGACTCCCGCCCGCGTGTGTCTAGTGCCTGAGCACTTGCATGTTGACATGTGCTATATGGTCATCAACTGTTTCATTTTATTTCTCCTTCCATCTCAGCTAGATCGTTGTTACTTGTTTTGAAATTAGGTATGTAGGAAGGTTATATTATCTGTGGGTTTCATTTCAGGATAATATCCAGGGCATTACCAAGAGTTTATTACAAAAAATGGTGGGAGAATAAAGAGTGTGGTATTGAAAAATAAATTAATTAATCAAAAAGAAATAAAAACTGGCCATTGGGTCTGATGGCTCCAGAGCCACCGCCAGTCTATGCTCTCCAACTCGAGCGCAACAAAATCACCTCTGGGCCCCACCCCAAGAATGTGCGCTTCTGACAAGTTCCCAGAGGGGTGCTGTTGCTGCTGGTCTGGGGCCTCACTCTGCAAACCACCACCCAGAGCATCTCAAGTCATTGGTTTTAGCTCCCTTCTCAGCACTACCCCAGCTTCTCTCCCAGCCCAGGGGAGTTACTCAGGAAGCTGATCTGGAGGGATCTCCGAGAGAGCTCTCTGTCCTCTGGGGACTCCCGAGTCCCAGGCTGAGAGTCCGTGTGAGCATCTGCGAGCCGGTGGCTCCAAGGGCAGGGGCAGGCTGGTGCGGAGCATGCTGGGCACATGAGCATGCATCACAGACCAATCCACAGCGGGTGCTCGGCAAACCCCAGCAGGCGGCCTCTCCCAGCCTGGGGGTTCTTCGCTCCCTGAGCCCCTCAGTGTAGAGGGGTAGAAAACCCTGGCAGTCCCTGGCTCCTGTTCAAAGCCAGAAATGTTGGAAAATCTCCGCAGCCAGGAGCCCACCCATAGAACCCCTCCAACCACCCTGGGGATGGGACAAGAAGAGCAACCTTTCTGAAGAAGATTTTGCAGACATTACCTCCTTGTCAATGGTTCTGTAGCCACACATGGTGTTGACAACTTGTGTCTGAAACAGAAAGGTATATTAGCTAACACATAGGTGGTGCTTGCTGTCAAAGACACTGTTATTCTCCCGTTTTATGGATGAAAGAACTGAGGCACAGTGTTGCACTGTCCAGTATGGTTGGAGCCGAGATTCCCACCAAGGCAGTCTGGCTTGAGTCTGCATCTTAACATCCCACCTCCAAGAAATGCCGATGGAGGAAAGGCGGCACTAGTTCTGTGGCGCTTGGTGGGACCCGTTCCCTCTGGCGGCAGCCAGGAGCCCAGGGAAGAGCAAGCTGCTCCAGGCTCCTCCCTGCGGCCTGGCTGAGGTGCGCTCTGCCCACAGGGGATGCCCTGTCCCAGAGGTCGGGCTGGGCCTTCCCTGCTCTGCGAGCTCTCCTGCAGGACCGCCTAGACCCAGCCAGGACCCTGCGGTGCAGCACCTCTGACCACCCTCCCGGCCTCCACAGACTGCCGCCCCGCCAGGGGAAGTGTTGCTCAAGTTCCCTTCCGGGAAGAGAGTCGCTCTCAAGAACTCCCCGACGCCGCTCGATCTGGGTGCAGGGAAAGCTGTGGTTGGCCCCAGATCTCATCAATCCCTTCCCAGCAGGTATCAGTCACAGGGCTGGCAGGGGCGCCTCCCATCATGCCTGTGTCCCTGTGCATTCTCTCATAGGTGGGAGAGAGCTAGAGGCCCCGGTCCCGCCCCTCCACATCTGGGTCAAAGCTGCTGCGGGGTCAGGGTATCAGCAGCAAGGCAGGAGAGCACCAGAGTGGCAGTGTGGCCTCTGGCATCATGGTGCCTGGTCCAGACCCTACTGTCACTGAGCTCTGTGACCAGCCTCAGGTGTGCTGCGGAGGGGCTGGCACATGGAGGCACTCATTGTTGGATGGATGGATGGATGGATGGATGGATGGATGGATGGATGAGTGAGTGAGTGGTAGGCTCCTTGGTCTCTTCCATAAGCAATGATGATCAGTGAACCCATCTCACGAAGCTGTTTTGAACATAAAGTGAGATACACACATAAGTGCTTATCCCAGGGCCGGGCACACAGGAGGGCTGCCGGAGCGCCTTTGTCTGCGATCCTGGCTTCTGCAAAAGTGCGGAAGGGTGTCTACTCTCCTTCCCACAGAGCAGGTTGGATCTCACGTCGTCTGGATCAGTCTGAACGTCAGGGCCTGGTGTGAGCAAATAACCTCCGTCTCAGTGGTCCGCCAGGAGCCCTAGACCCAGCATCGCCAGCATCCACTAAGCACTTCTGACCCCTCCAGGCCACGAACATGACCCTGATGGAGAGGGTCAGGCCAGGAGCAGGGACAGAGGTCATGATGGGAGTGGGTGCTTTCTCCCTTGTTTGTCTGTTCATTCAGGCAAGTGTTGACTGAATGCCTGTTAGGGGCCAAAAGCCGTCCGAGGTATTGGGAATGTAGAACAAAACAAAGTTCATGGAACTGGTATTCCTGAAAGGGAGACGGGCAGTGAACACGATGAATAAGCAAACTACATAGGATGTAGAAGGTGACAGGAGTGACTTCGCTCTTCACTGAGGTTGCAGCCCCAGAGCAGGGCCCAGCCACTGCCTCAGGGAGCAGACATGCAGCGGGCAGGGCTGTCCCCTACCCCTGCAGCCCAGGAGGCCCCCTAGGCCCCTGGGGACTCGCCTCCCCCTTCCAGAGCTCCCCTCCGAGAAGGGGGAAAGCTGCACCCACGGTCTTTCCCAGTGTAAAGCCCGCACCTGAGGGGCGCACAGGCCCCGAGGCAAGCTGTGCAGCGGCCCATCCCAGCTGGCACAGCGCCACCAGGTGGGACACCAGGGAGGGAGCTCCTGGGCACAGCCAAGTTCATCTGTGCCTCCCCTCGCCCTGCCCCAGGAAGCTAGGTTACCTGGGGTCTGCGCAGCGAGGAAAGGGGAAGCGGGAGCTTCAGGGACAGGCCCCCAAGGGTAGCCAACCCAGGAGAGTGAGTAGCGATGAAAATTGGACACAAGTTCAACAGGCCACAGGCACAGCAGTCCGGGGCCATGTAATGCAGAAGCGAGCTGCCCTTCACCCCAACAGGTCTCGGGGCATCCTGCCTGTAACCCAACTGGACAAGCCAGCGTGAAGCTCTGTTGCTCCAAACCCTCTGGAGAACCAGGAGCTGACAGTGCAGTTTCTGTCCAAGGTTGGCAGGCTTGAGACCCAGGAAGAGCTGATGTTCCAGTTCAAGTCTGAAGGCCGTCAGACAGGAAGAATCCTCTTACTCAGGGCAGGGACAAATCCCACCCAAATCCTCTACAGGAAGCCTAGTAGAAGACATTTCTCTCCAAGCTGAGAGCTAGGGAAAAGTGACTCTCCCTGAAGAACTGGTTTGCTTTCTTGGTTAAACGTTGGCAGCGTGACAGACTGCATCTCCCTTTCCCTGTGGCTGCCAGGAAGCTCCAAGCCACCAAACACGAGGCCCGTTTCCAGTGATTCCATAAGCCCGTTAGGCCTACATAATTTTTTCCATCATCTGGCCCTCCTATTTTAGCATATATTTTCCATGATTCTGATTTTTAAGTTTAGTTTTTTATTTTGTGTATTTCAGATCCTTGGTTGAATATAAAATAAATCGATTCATACACACATGGAACTGATTCTTTTGAGGAGGGAAAACACCCTATTTTATATTTAGAGAAAAAGCATCCAAGTGTGGGAGACACAGGGAGAACACAACAGGTTGGCCCTGCATGACCAGAGATAACCCAGGCAGGTGACGGTCCCCTCCCCACCTGGTGTTCCCATTTAGGGGCCAGCTTGAGATCCGCTTTCCCTGCAGATGACATCATGTTTAGACTCCCAGCCTGGCCATGGCCCCCAGACTGCAGACTCATCTCTAACTGCCTCTTTGACAACCTGGTGGCGTGTCACACAGGCTCTCGAGCCCCACGTGCTCACGCTGAGCTCCTGCGGTCCCCACCCTTTGTCCCTGCAGTCCTCCCCTCAAGCAACGGTAGCGCCGCCTTTCCTGTCGCTCAGGACAAACTCTGGGAGTTGTCAGTTTCCTCTTCCACCTGCCTCTCACACCTGATCTGTCAGCAAATCCCGCTGGCTGACTTGCAAAGCACGGCTGGAATCTGACCACGGCTTGCCTCCTCCACGACCGCCACCTGGCTCGCAGCCTTTGCCGCCTCCTGCCCGGTGTGGTGGGTGCTGGAGGGAGCTGCCCAGACCCCGCGGCTGCTGGGAGCGGGCTGGCCGCAGCCCCCAGCTCTCAGCCCCCCGCAGTGGTTGTCACAGGTGGTTAATTTTATGTGTTGATTTGGCCAAGCTTGGGGTGCCCAGACATTTCGCCAAACATCATTCTGGGTGTTTTTGTAAGGTGGTTTTTCAATGAGATTAATAGTTAAGTCAGTAAACTAAGGAAAGTGGATTGCCCTCCCCAACACGTGCAGCCTCAGTCAACCAGTGAAAGGCGTGAGCAGAACAAATAGAGAATTCTTCCGGCCAGACTGTCTTCAGATCTGAACTGAGACACCAGCTCTCCTGGGTCTCGAGCCCCCAGCCTTCAGGGAGGGACCACACCATCGCTCTCCTAGACCTCAGGCCTTCGGACCCGGACCGGAACCGAAGCACTGGCTCTCCCGAGTCTCCAGCTTGCTGACTCACCCTGCCGTTCTTGGGACTTCCTGCCTCCATAATTCGGTGAGCCAATTCCTTACAATAAATCACATCTCACACACACGCACACATCCTATTGGTTCTGTTTCTCTGCTGGACAGAGCCAGCAAGTCCCTTCCCAGGTGGGGCACTATACTCATGCAATGCCTAGCCAATGTGGGGCATGAAGGCTTGGCCTCCTTGTCCCAGAATGGGACACCTCTGGGGGGCACCCACATAGATTCCGCGGAGGTTCCTACTGAGGCCGCATCATTGCTCAGTTTCTCCCTCTGCCCAACTCAGCTTCTGTCACCTCCCTTACAGGTGTTGACCCTGAGAGCACCTCCCACTAAGCCTCCTGCTCACTAACCGGAATCTCAGAGCCTGACCTATGACACCTGGACCGCTGCACTAGCCTTCAACCAGACACCCCACAGCAGCCAGAGTGATCCTGGTAAAGCCTACGCCATATCTGCCAATCAGTCACGGAAGCCCTGTCACTCAGGGAACATCAAAGTTCTGATCATACCCGTGGCGTCCCTGACTTCATCTGCTGCTGTCCTCACGCCCCACCCCTCACTCTGCTGCAGGCAACTATCTCTGTGCTGTTTCTCAAACACACTAGGGCAGTTCCTACCTCAGGGCCTTTGCACTTGCTGGACTCGCTGCCAGGAATGCTCCTCCCCCAGAGATACTTCGCTTACTCCATTTCCCTCAGGATTTTATGGAGAACTCACCTTCCCGGTATCTAAAATTGCAGTCCTCCACGTACCTTTTTGTCTTTTATCCTGAGCATTTATCACCTTCTAAGATCCTCTTTTACTTATTTGTCAGTTTTCCCCACAAAGACATCAGCTCCATGCAGGTAGAGTTCTCTGTATGTTTACTGTACCCCCAGAACATAGAACCACACCTGGCAAGTAGTAGGTCCTCAATAAATATTTGTTGAATGAATGAATACAAGTTGGGCTTCCACATCTCAACTTGGACATGCAGGGGCCACTGCCCTGGGTGAAGTTCAGGATCACCTCTCACAGGCCTCTCAAAAGCCCTGGGCTCCTTTCCAGCATACCCCTGCCCAGAGAGCTACCCCAAAGGGCAGCTGAAACTTCCAAATCCACCTCCCCTCCTGGCCCAGCCTTTTTTTAGGGCTCCTGCAGACTGGCTCCCTGACTCATGGGCCAGGCCCGCACCCCCACCAGCAGCTGCTTGGTTTACAGAATCTGGCAGTGGGCACAGAATGATGGAGACATCAGAAGAGAAACTTTCCATGACCACCCGGAGCATGAGTAATTGCAAAGCCCTCTGCCTCTTTCCAGGCCAGAAACTAGGCAGGTTTGGGACACATTAGTCAAACACAGAGGGTTGACGAAGCCTCCCAGGCAGCTAAGTGGGTAAGAAAGTTGACAGGCCCCTCCGGGTGTTCGCATCACCAGACCTCTTCCAAGCGCCTTGTTCCTGACGCTCGCCAGGCCCTCAAGCCCTTCGTCCCTGGAGGCGCCCGAGCACAGGCTTGCTCCCGCCCTCCAGCTGAGCTCCGCGCCGCCACCCTGCTCAGCACCCAGGCCTGGAAGCCGCTGTCACTGCCGCTGCCGCTCGGCAGGCTTGTCCAGTGGCCAGAGCACAGCTCTGACGATGGCTGCCTGCATTTCAGCCCAGCCCCACCACCTCGGGCAAGGCACCTTTGGGTGCCTCAGTTTCCTCACCTGTACAGTGGATAAAACAACAGTACGTGCCTCACAGGGTAGCTGAAAGGACTAAATGAGTTAGTACAGCTAAGGACTTAGAACAGGCCTGCACGTGGTGGGTGCCCAATGGACGCGAGCCACCGCTCCTAACAAAGGGAAGGCCCCCCAGGTGTGTCCTTCCAGCAGCCCCTGAGGCCCAGGAAGCCTGGACAATGACCACCACCTGCTGCCCACCCCACCACTGTCCTAAAGATGGGAAAGGTGCTTGGCCGGGGGTGCCAGAGCAGGGAGTACCGTGTTTCGGATGCAGCAGGTGTAGGGCACCCCGCAGGCCAGGGGTCCAGGGGCGTTGCAGTCATGGTACTGGTTTTTGCTCCAGTCTCGGTAGTCTTCCCCGCCACAGCACTTGAACTGAGAGGGGAAGCAAGCAGGGAAGAGAGCTGCTGTCACCGCCGAGGCCAAGGACAGACAACAGGAGGGGGTCCTGGCAGGGGACGATGCAGTTTATGATGTGGCCCCCCCTGTGGCTACAGGGAGCACCTGAGGCTGGATGTGGTCAGGTCACAGCACTCCACAGGCAGCACGGCTGCCCAGCAGGTAGTGAGCACCCCGTCACTGGAGAGGCATGCAAGCCAAGGCTGAGAAGCCTCTTGGTGGGATATCAGGGTGGTGACTAAACACTGGAAAACAAAGTCCTTCCTTGACAGATGGAGTCCATCTTCACTTCCCAGTGCAGGTGTCAGGCCAGAGAAGCTGGCCTTTAAGGTCCCAGAGAGTAGGATTCTATGGAAGCCACCACGACCCAGCGCCCCCTGCACCACACCGACCTGCTCCTCACTGGCCCAGCGCTGCCGGCCTGCCCTTAGCAAAGGAGCACACCCGCCTCCATCGTGCCCTGGGCAGGACTGAGCGATGGGAAGGCTGGTGTCCTTCTCCCCTGACATGAGCTCCTCCCTGCATCTCCCCGTAGTGGTGCCAACATCTGGGGAGCAGTTCCTCTACGGGGGTGCAGGGTGTCCGGGCATGTTCTGGGCACTGCAGAGACGGTGTGAGCCAAGCAGCGTGGCCCCTGCCCACGCGGGGCACATACCAGTGGAGGGACCCAGCGGAGGGGACCCATGTAAGCACAGCAGGAAAAGGTCAGTGACTAGTGCTGTGTACCAAGAATGTGAACACACAGGGAAGGCGGGGGCAGCTTCAGGTTAGGAGGTCAGGAAACGCCTCTGAGGAGGTGATATTTAATCTAAAACATGAACAACGGGAGTAAGTCAACATGTGCAAAGATCCTGCGTGGAAATGAGCGAGCTGTATTCCAGCAGCAGGCCGGAGGCCGCGTGTGCGGAGGCCAGCAGGCAGAGGGGATGGGATGAGGCGGAGGGGGAGCGTAGGCCAGGCATCCAAAGCCTGTGAGGAGGGAGCTGGGATCCTATTCTGAGTGATGGAAGTCACTGGAGGGTGTAACCAGGGGAGTGACATGGTTGAAGGTCCTGGTAGGAACATAAACCAGACAACCTCTCAGTGTCCCCACAGTGCCCTTTAGGCTGTTAGGTTTTAGGACCTGAAAGTGCAAAGGGCATTTGCTTTGCAATCAGACAGACCAGAGTTCAAATCCTCACACCAGCACTCCTAGCTGTGTGACTCCAGGCAAGTTGATCAGCCTCTCTGAGCCTCAGATCCTCATCTGTAAAGGAGGAAGAGATATTCCAGCTGTGCACAGCTGAGCTGAGAATTACAAAGAGAGCCGTGAATGATGCACCCAGCACAGGGTCTGGCACCAAGTGGTGCCCAATAAGCATGAGTCACCTCCCCACCAACCCACCCCGGGAGAGATAAAATCCCCAACCCAGCTGAGAGTTAGTTCCAATGAAAACACCATGCTCCACCCAACAGCCAGAGCTGACGGACTCATCCCTACAGAGAAGGGCCTACCAGAGGCTGCACCTGTTGTGAATACAGCCAAGCCCTGAGCCAAGGGAGTGGTCACCACGGGTGGCCCTGGGTGCAGAGAGATGTTGGTCCCCACTGAAGGCTATCATGAGGGATCAGGTCAGTGGAAGCCCCCAAGGTCATGTCCCAAGAAGTGCTGCCAGGGCTGAGTGGGCTCACAGCCTTCAAGCTCTGCTTGTCCCCCCCTAGAACTTGAGGACAGTGATCACCGTAGCTGACACTGACTGACTGAGCTCTTACCACAGGCCCAGCACTGCTCTAAGAACTTCTGAATTAAGTCAAGGCGATCTCGCAGTGAGCCAAGGGGAAGGACCATGAGAGCCCCTGACGCAGGGGAGGAACCTGAGGATCAGCCTGGATCGGTGTGTATAAGCCAAGGATTGTGGCTGGCCCTGCACTCCTGTTAGTGCACTAACAGGCTTGGGTGGACCTTGGGGGAGAGGCACAGCATCTCAAAATGACATCATCGTGTTCAAAGAGGGTCATGGAGGAAAAGGAGAAGTTTCGTTCTATTCCCAGTGCTGCAGAAATGGAACCAGGGAAGAGCTCTGGTCACACTGGGGCCGTCCTTGTCTTGGCAGAAAGTGAGCGCCCTGCCCCTGGGACCTTGGCTGCAGAGACTCGAGCTGGGTGGCTTTGTGCTCATTCCCAAAGAGCCCAAGGAAGGAGGCTCTTTGCCCATTGGAGCAGGGCACCCTGGGGCCCTGTAGGGTGGCTTATAGCTGCACCTGACCTTGTTCTTTTTAGAGAGAGAGTCCATGTAACTGGAGAGGGACAGGTAAGGCAAGGCATGTGGGCAAAGGGCTGGTTAAGGTCAGGCCCCATCCTCGATGGTCATCCATGGCCCATCCTTGCCTCCGACTTGGTCAGCCTCCTGCTTTGGGAATGGATAAGCCACGTAACCCATCACCCTCACCAAGAGCACGGGAGGCACATCTCTGACTCAAAAAGCCTGGCTCACCTTCTTCTGAACAAAGTCCATGATGTTTTTGAAGTCCAGGTCGTCATAGTAGTTCTCGATTCCTCGTCGGATGTTGTTGTTCAGAAAGTCGATGGTCTATTTAGACAGAGAAATTACAAGAGAAGAAGACCACACACACCTAAATCCAACCCAAGATTCCCCAGAAGTTCCCACTGGAACAGAGTGCCCACGTGCCCAGGTAGCCCCACCCCTGCCTGCATGGAGCACCCTCCATTCCCACCCCGAACACTCACGACCCCCTGTCCATACCCCCTCCTGGCTGCTAATGCCCATCTGATGCCTGAGCCCCTCTGCCATGTCTGAGCAGGACTGATTCACCCCTTTTCTCTGCAGATCAAACAACAGGCCCTGAGAGGGTGGGGCCCTGCTGGGGGTACACAGCTGCCCCAGTTCCCAGCCGGGTGCTCCTTCTGCTGCCCAAAGACAGGCCTGAATCCTCCTTGCCCTCCAGATCTCCTCTCCACTCGATGCTATCCCACCGCTTGTGTTATGGATAAGGAGACTGAGGCCAGGCAGGGGGCCTGACCCTCCCCGGCTCACAGAGCAGGCTGGTCAGGGCCCAGCCGGGACAGGAAATCAGGCTCCTGACTTCCCGCGCGCGCGGGCCTCTCCTCATCGCTGCCCGCTCTGGCCGGAGGAAAGGCCCACCTCCCCCTTGCACTGGGACAGTCCCCTCCGTGGAGAGCGCTGGCACGCCACCCCTCCCGGTCGCACTGGGCCTTCTGGATCAACAGCCTGGCTGTTGTGCTGAGACCCCGGAGCACAAAGGGCCCACAGCGGGAAGGGGTGGGGACGGGAATGTGGGCAGCCCAGCTCCACGCTCACAGGGACAATCGGGGCTTTCAGAGCAGGGAGGCCCTCGTATCATCAGAGGCTGAGCTGACACAAAGGGGCATTCTCGCCTCTGGAGCCAGATGATCCCCGGGGGAGGTGCCTGCGGGGACACTGGGACAGCAGGCCCGGGTTCCAGGCCCAGTGCTGCCACAGCAGGCCCTGGCACAGCTGCTGCCTTCTCTGAGCCTCGGTTTCCCTCTGAACCAACCCTGCAGCCTATCTGTAAGGCACTTCCAGCTCCGAGGCGGGAAGACGAGGCTGAGAGGGGCTCTGAAGCCTGCGATCAGAAACAGTCCGCGCAGCCCCCCAGGCCTCGGCACCTCCATTTCCTTACCCGCAAGATGGGGAGGGCAGTCCTGCCGCACAGGGCTTTGAGGTTTAAATAAACTAAAGCGACGGAAGTTCTTCTTGAGATGCTGGGTACATCGTAGCTCCTGGTCTTATTATCACAGCTCTTTCCTCTTCCAGGAGACACAAACCCTTTGCTGCCACTTTATACCCACCACGTCATCCGTGGAAAATAATCCCAAGGCAAAGCAAGGCCCTGAGTCTCGTCCAAAAGACATACTGCAACGGAGGCAGCCCCGGGACAAGACCCAGCCCCTGGCCTGGGACTCCACACAAACACCCTGCAGCCCAGAGAAGCCATGTGACTTGTCCAAGGTCACCCAGCTGGTCACTGGCAGATTGATGCTGGAATCAAGGTGTCAAACCCTCAGTCTGATCAACTTTAAGAAGCCAAGATAAGAACCCAAGGTTGTTTGGGGTCATCTCCCCAACCCATCTCGTGTCAGGAAGAGACGCACAAAGGATAGACCGGCCACGTCCTTCCGGATACACTGCGCAGAGCCAAGGTAGCGAAGAGACTGGCTCAGGGAAGCCTCCCTGTGGCCAGCAGGAAAAGCCTCTGCTGATGATAAAGGAAAAGCTGCTCCGGAGCAGAGCTGGGAGCTGGGGAAGACGGGAGGGCAGCGGGAGGCCTGCGGGAGGCCTGGGCCAGACCCGCTCCCGCGTGAAACCCTCTGCACTCAAAAGCCCACAGCCCTGCACATGTCTGGCGCTGGCTCCTGGGGCAGGGGCTGGGTGGCCACACAGCCTGGGCAGAGCAGGGACCACCTGCCTTCCCAAACTGGGTGTCTGTTCCTCTGGGTGATGAAGGGACAGGCCAGCCAGCTGGGACATGGTTGGTGTCTAAGAAACAGGACACCAGGGCAGGGCCAGTCTGCCACCCGTGGCAGGGCAGGAAATGAGTTCATGGCATTGAATGACATGCTGCAGGGGCCTTGGCTGAGCGGAGGAGGCACAAGGGGGCAATGTGCGAGTCAGGGGCGCGCCTACGGCTACATGCCCGAGGCTGTGTCAGGCGGCTTCCTCCCGCTCTCGAGGCACTGCAGACAGTCCTGGTCCACCATGTCCTTCTGCACCTGCCCCAGCCCAGTGGCCACCTCCTAGGCCCTCTACTGGGTCACATGCTAGAGATGGAGGTGAGGGGATAAGGGCAGGAAGCCCAGGGCAGGGTCAGCAGAGGGGATGCCCTGAGGTTCGAAGGAAAGGCTCTCCTCCCTCTTTGGTGAGCACCCCTGACCTCCCCCACCAACCATCTGTCTGCACGCTTCCCAAAGCTGCTGACTCCAAGAGGCCTTGTGGAAATCAGGCCTCCCATCTGATAAACTGAGCTGGGCCCCTGAGGGAACAAGAGGCCCCACTGGAGGCTTCTCAAAATGGGCAGTAAAAACAGATGGTCCCTTGCCCAGCCAGTGTGGCTCAGTCAGTGGTTGAGCATCAACCCAGGCACCAAGAGGTCGCCAGTTCAATTCCCGGTCAGGGCACATGCCCAGATGTGGGCCCAATCCCCAGTGGGGGGCATGCAGGAGGCAGCCAATTGATGTTCTCTCTCATTGATGTTTCTCTCTCTCTCTCCCTCTCCCTTCCTCTCTCTAAAACAGATGGTCCCAGGCTCCATGGGAAGCAGCTGCCCCTAGCTCCCATCAGGGGCCTCTCTGCATCATGCTGGCTCTCACATGTGTGCACTGCCTTTAGCACTGTGTGTCCGTGTGTGTGTGTGTGTGTGTGTGTGTGTACAGGGAGATGTGCAGGACATATATGTGGTCCCTATACTGGGACAGGTTTGGGGAATGGGTGGGAAATTCCAGTGAGGCAGGTGAATTGCCAGTTCATTCATGACTGTAAAGAGCTATGTTCTGAGATACTGGGGAGCCACTCAGAGGACATGCCTTGTGGAGCGGGCTTCCTCTGCTGCTCCCAGATGACAAGCACACCCAGTGCCACCCCCACCCTGCTCTAAACCAGGTCACACCAGCAGGGGCAGCTCCAACAAGGACTAGAAAACCACCTTCATGAATGGCTGGCACAGCCTCAAGGCCACATGGCCTGGGCTCAATTAAGCCAGCAGTAAGCGAACATCAGAGGGCACGGGATCTCCAGAACACGCCGTTTAGGCCACCAGATTCCAGCCACCTCGCTCTCCCTTTTACGTCTGCTTTCAAAGATATCCGAAGCCTCCGCATCACCCCCTCAGCAGAGATGCTTAGCATGTTTCTACATAAATGAGGAGTTGGAAGGGGTGGGGGCGTGTGGCAGCAGCGCCCCCAGGACCGGCAGCTGGAGGAGCAGGGAGAGGAGAGGGGGGAAGGGGGCAGCTGGAGCCTCCCACCAGGCCTCTGGGGATGGAGCTGTCCTAACTGCCTGGATTCCTGGAGGCTGCCGGGTCCCACACCAGATTCTAAGACCCGAGGTGGCAGAGGGAAGGAGGCCTGGGATGGGGACACAGATGTACCAGGTATAGCCCAGCACCCTCTGGGTGTCCCTGCTCAGCTCTGCCTGACTGGGAACACATCCCTGCCACCCCAAGAGAGGCCCTAGAACGGGCTGGGGTGATGATAGGTAAGAGGGGTGAGACACAAATTCTGGAGGTCATTCCGGTTTTCCTCTCACTGGCTGGGGTCAAGACACTGCTTTTCTGTTCCTAACGCCCAGGCCCTCAGGGCCACTTGCTCTGTGCCCAGCTCCCCAGTGCATGGCCACTAGACCCTGTACAAGCAGAGAGGCCATTTCAGTCTGACCCTCAGGTCATGCCTGACAGCAAAAACCTCGTCCAGGATCAAGAGTTGACAGAGTTGCTGCCTTATACCTGGGAGTCTATTTATCTTTTGCAGCCTGGTTGTGCCCATGATCTATGAATCTCCCTGAGAACTTAATATGTAATCATTAGCTTAATGATCTGTCCCCATTTGTCACCAAAAGTAGATTCTTAGAGTTATCAGTGGGGCTGACTTGTTATAGTGTGGCTCATAGAAATCTGTCTTCTCCTCAGGAAAAAATGGAATTGGGAACTCACCTCCTCCCAGAAGCTGACCTTGATTGCTCCTCCTCACCTGTTCCTCCACCTTACACTGCCTCCTCCTGCCGCCATCAACCAGCCAGGCTGCTCCTCCCCTATCCTCACCATTGGCTCATCTCTGGTTTTATGAAATCAATCACATCAGAGTTGGAAGGGACATTATTTTTCTGTATATGGTATTTTCCCCTTGATTCTGACAAAAGAAAAAGAAATTTGGAAGCTAGGAAAAAATATATAAATGAGAAAATAAAAATTGCCCTAGTACAATCCCTTAGAAGAAATAAGAGTTTGTATGTTCATATTTCTATTTCCTTCCAGAGTTTTCCAGGCCTACTTTTTATTGTGGAAATCTTATTCAACTTACAGTTTTTAAAATCTCATTTTTCAATTACTTTGAATTATGTATTACACGCATATGATAGCACAGCCCACCAGGAGCCCCCCAAACAGCTGAGACCCTGATGGTGAGGGTACTTCCTGGGCTACGTACTGAGACCCTCCCCTGACAGGGCCCGGAGAGGGGACAGACACCCCATCCAAGGGGAAGAAACACACTTCACTCCATGGTTCCCTTGGATTCTGGGGGCAGCTGGGGCTCTGACCTCGGACCCACAGCACCCTAGCTGTGAGGACTAAGTGACCCTGGAGGGTTCACCTTGGCTCAGCTCCCTCACTAAAACAGAGGAGTGGTGTCATAGCCCTGTGACCTACAAGGGACTGGAAAATGACCAATCAGACTGCCTCTGTGAAAGCATGCTGGAAACCAAACTGCTGCTCACTTAGGGGACTGTTTATGACAACCTCGGATGCTGCTGACCATGACCTGGACCTGGGCTGCAGCCAGGAAAGCACTAACCCATAATCCCAAGGCCGGCCGGGAGCCCTGCTGGCGGCGCAGGAAAGCATCCCAAAGGGCAAATGGAATAAACAACTCTCCCCGCAACACTGCCAAAACATAAACCATGCCCTGGATCTGCCAGCGCAGACAGATGGGCTGCCAAAGAGAAACGGGGAAAGGGGAGGAGCAGGTAGCAAGGCTAGATTGGGAAGACAACCAATGGGGCACATAAGAAATCAAAACGGAAATAAAAAAATATCTTAAGACCCATGAAAATGAAAACACAATGTACCAAAACTTATGGGATACAGAAAATACAGTTCTAAGAGGGAAGTTTATAGTGATGTTTATAGTGATTCTTTCTACATTAAGGGAAAAAAAGAATCTCAAATAAACAATCTAACTTTACACCTCAAAGACCTATAAAAACAAACTAAGCCTAAAGTTAGTAGAATGAAGAAAATAACAAAGAGTGGAAATAAATAAAATAGAGACCAGAAAGACAATAAGAAAAATCAATAAAACTAAGAGTTGCTTTTCTGAAAAAGATAAATAAAATTGACAAACCTTTAGCTAGACTATGAAAAAAGAGAAGATTCATATAAATAAAATCAGAAATGAAGATGTTACAAAAATAAAAATAAAAGAGGAGACATTACAACCGATGTCACAGAAATACAAAGGATCATAAGAGACTATGACGAACACTTATACACCAACAAACTGGATAACCTAGAAGAAATGGATAAATTCCTAGAAACATACAACCAACCAAGACTGAATCATGAAGAAATAGGAAATCTGAACAGAACAATAATGAGTAAAGAGCTTTAATCAGTAATCAAAAGTCTTCCAATAAAGAAAAGTCCAGGATAAGATGGCTTCACTGGTAAATTCTAAGTGTTTAAAGAATTATTACCAATCCTTCTCAGATTTTTCCCAAATATTGAAGAGAAGGGAACACATCCAGATTTATTTATGAGGCCAGCATTGCACTGATACCGAAGCCAACAAGGACACAAGAAAAAATTTATAGGCTAATATCCCTGATGAACATAAATGCAAAAATCCCCAACAAAATATTAGCAAATGAAAATCAACAGAATTTTAAAAATCACACACCATGATCGAGTGGGATTTATCCCTGGGATGCAAGGATGGTTCAAAATCTACAGATCAATCAATGTGCTATACCACATTAACAGAATAAAAAATAAAAATCATATGATCATCTCAATAGATGCAAAAAAGTCATTTGACAAAATTCAGCATCTTTGGTGATAAAAACTCTCAACAAAGTAGTATAGAAAGAATGTACCTCAACATAATAAAGGTCATACATGACAAGCCCACAGCTAACATCATACTCAAAAGTAAAAAGCTAAAAACTTTTCCTAAGATCAGAAACAGACACAGTGCCCACTCTCACCACTTTTATTCAACATAGTACTAAAGTCCCAGCCACAGTAAAAAATTAGGCAAGAAAGAGAAATAAAAGGCATTCAAATTAGAAAGAAAGAAGTAAAATTATCTGTTTGCAGATGACATGATGTTTATATAAGGAAAATGTTCACATGCATTCTCTTATCAAATCCTTACCCCAAACTCCAGCTAGGAACCATGATCCCCTAAGGAACCTAGGGGCTGCCAACAGGTTATGCTTGCCCAGGTCACACAGCTGGTATGAGGCTACATGGCCTGCAGTGGAAACTGTGGGAGACCAGAAGCCCTGAGAATCTTTCCAGCTCAAAGGGGCCCTGACTCTGCAAACCCTTCCAGAGGGGTTTCATGGCACGCGGCCTTCTTGGCCTTTCTCTTGCCCTCGCTCTATTTTCCAGCACAGCAAAGTTCTGTAGATAGACACTGCCTCTAAAACGTACTCCAAACCCCTGGTCTCCCCACACCCCCACACCCTGCAGCGAGGAAAATGCAAACCAGATCACATCACTTCCTCTGCAAAGGCTTCCTATTGCCTTCAGAGAAATTCCCAGCTCCTAAATCCCGGCCCCTGAGAACCCACGTGATCTGCACTGGCGGGCACTCCAACTCCAGTTCCCACCCCTCCCCATTTCTCATGCCCTTCAGCCAAGTGGCATCCACTTGGGTCCACATACCCACCAAGCTCCCCTCTGCCTCAGTGGCTCCCTCTGCCTGGCATCTGCTCCCGATGAGCCTCACCTTGTAGGCTGCCCTTCATTACTTCATTATTGTCCTCCCCATCTGCACCCCAGGCCCTCTCCCAGCACCCTGTCTTGTTTCTTGTTCTTTGGCTTCCTTTTTCAGTGTCCATCTCACCAGCAAAATAAACACTCCACAAGGAATTTTATACCCTGCTCTCTGTGCACGCCCTGTTTTATAGTCCAGGGCACACACCCAGTGGGTGCTCAGCATACACATGGCTGATAAATGTGTCACAGGCCCACCTGGTTCCGGAAGAGCAAGGCCACCACGCCACCAGTGAGCTCGATTATGAGGCAAATCCCAAGGATGTACATAAACTGAAAAACAAAATTCAGAGATTCACCTAGAGGGGTAGAGGAAGCGCCGTCTGCTCCAACGTCAAGAGCAATCAGGGGAACCATCTCTGCCAGAGCTCTTTCTTCTCCTGGGACTCTCGCCCCTTCCTCCTGTGAGGACACAGGATGTGGACAGACATTTGGAGGAAAAGCCCGTCTTTGGAGCCAATGGTCAGGAAGAGTGACTCAGCGGTCCAAGCCAGACTGTGACTGAGGTTTGTGTCAAGGCTCCTCAGCAGGATCTAGGTGGAAAACACACACCCCTCCCCCAACCTCCACAAGGAGAGCTGGTCCTTGCTCTGGCTGCCCCAGAGGGGACAGGCCTAGCTTATTGGGCAGGGTAGGGTAGCATTTGCAGCTGTGCAGGCAGAGCCCCTCAGAAGTGGCTTCCCAGACCCCCCGAGTGGGTAAGGGGATGTCTGAGATTTGGAGGATATGCACCCCACCCCTGCCCTTGATCACAGAATAGGCATTGTCCAAACCGATGCCAGCAAAGTCTAGCCTCAGGCAGCCGAGGCCCTGCTTCCAGGGCTTTCTGGGGCTTCCTGCGGAGGAAGACAATGAAGCCAAACACCCATGCAATGCAGAGTCGATGCATCTGCCTATGTGGCACCCCCAGCTTTGGGGAGTCATCCCTCACCCCACAGTAAGGGGGCAGGCCCTTCAGAGTCCTGAGACTTTGGCCAGAGTTACCAAGAAAGATTCCCTGGAATCAAGAGCCACAAGGACTCTGTGGCCTGAAGCTGCTGGTGACCAGCACAAAGAGCGAATGAGGACAGTGCCCAGCGTCCAGCTGGGAGGTGGCAGGAGAGAGAGCCCAAGGGCACTGTCTACACCCCTGGGCCCAGTGTGCATTAGCTGGTTAGATGAGTAAGAGCTTCCTACCAACTTTTTTTGGTTTTGCTTGCTCTCATTTGAGTGTGGTTTCTCCCACTTCCAACTGAGAGTCTGGACCAACACAGGGTTTAAGTAAGAAGAATAGTATAGAAAAATAGTATTCAAATCAGCCCTTGTACGCAGCAGTGGCGGTGACCAACTTGGACAGCTAGGCTGATCCAGGACACCCTCTAGAAGAGCTGATTTGAGGCAAGGACTGAAAAACCGGGCAGCCTGAAGGCAATGGGACAGTCTCCCACCTTTTGGGGGGACTCCAAGGACCCACTACCTACCAGCTAAGGGGTGCAGAGGGCTGACTCACCACTTGAAGAAGGCACAGGTTGTCACGAAGGGAGGCCAGCACGCCAATGAAGGAGACGATGAACATGATGACTCCTAGGAGGATGAGGATAATGGCCGGGGCCAGAAAGGCACTTTCAAGGGTTTTGTATTTCTGCCGCTCGACCTCTGCATAGATCCCCACTGACAGAACCAGAGTCCCGATCAGCTGCAGCAAGAAAGCAGGGAGTGAGAGATGAGAAGGACTGGAAGTCACCTGATTTCCCTCCAAAGAGTTTATTTGAAGGTTGTGGTGCCTCCATAGGTGGTGGTGGGGGTCCCCCTAGATGACCATACAAGGGCTGAATATAATCCCCTAAAATTCCTATGCTGAAGTCCTAACCCCCAGAACCTCAGCATGTGACTGTATTAGGAGCCTTTGAAGAGGTAATTAGGCCCGGCTGGTGTGGCTCAATGGATTAAGCATCGTCCACTTAAGAGGTCCTGGTTGATTCCCAGTCAGGACACATGCCTGGGTTGCAGCTCAATCCCCAGTAGGGGACATGCAGGAGGCAGCCAGTCGATGCGTCTCTCTCACATCGATGTTTCTATTGCTCTCCCTTTCTCTCTCTCTCTCAAAAGTCAGTTAAGAGGTAATCAGGCCCTGGCCGGTTTGGCTCAGCAGTTAGAGCATCAGCCCACGGTCCAGAGAGACTGGAGTTCAGTTCCCACAAAGGGCATGTACCTCAGTTACAGTTTGTCCCCCTCCCCGGTTGGGGTCATGTGGGTGGCAACCAGTCGATGTGTGTCCCTCTCTCCCTCCCGCTCTGTCTGAAGATGAATGCAAAAAGTATCCTCGGGTGAGGATTAAAAAAAAAAAGAGAGAGAGGTAATTAGGTTAAAATAAGGTCATGTGGGTGGACCTTAATCCAATCTGACTGTTGTCCTTATAAGAAGAGATTAGGACACAGACAGACACAAGGAGCAGACAGCCACCTTCAAACCAAAGACAGCAACCTCAGAAGAAACCAGCCCAGCCAACAGACAGCTGGTTTCATCTTAGACTTCCAGCCTCCGAACTGTGACAATAAGTGTCTGTGGGTTAAGCCACCCCGTCTGTGGTACTGTTATAGCAGCCCTAGCAAACTGATGCAGACCCTATTTGGAAATTTAGAGAAAAGTCCTGGTGAGTCAGAGGGAATGCCTGTTAGAGGGTCAGGACCTGGGCCTTTGCACGGGCTGTTCTTATTGCCTGGAATGCTCTTCCTCTGAAATCCACATGGCTCACTCCCTCACCTCCTTTCTGCCCTGGCTCCACTGTCCGGTGCACAGTGAGACCTTCAAGGGCCATCTTATTTAAAAAGGAATCCCTCCTCCTGAAACTCCTGATCTCGTTTCCCTGTTCCTCCTCTGCACTTACTAGCATTTAACATATGACTTTTTTCCTTTGATTTAATTGTTTGTCTTCCGCACCAGAACATAAGCTCCATGCCAGGAGGGGTATTTTCAACTGTTTCCGGGCATCCCCAGCAGCCAGTACAGTCCTGACACTTAGGAAGTATAGTCAGTGTTTATACTCAGTGTCTGATTTCTTTTGTTGTTGTTGTTAATCCTCACCAGAGGGTATTTTTTCTATTGATTTTTAGAGAGAGGAAGGTGGGGGGCATCAATGTGAGAGACACATCTATTGGTGCCTCCACCACAAGCCCCAACCAGGGCCGGGATCAAACCTGCAACCCAAGTAAGTGCCCTTGACTGGGAATTGAACCCAAGACACTTCAGTGTACAAGATGACACTCTAACCACTGAGCCACACGGGCCAGGGCTACAATCAATGTCTGCTGAATGGATACAAACTGGGCTTCCTAATAGACCCTGCTGGGTTGGAGGTTGATGCTGTCTACCCAGTCTCTGGCCTGCCCAAGGATTCTGACTTTCTGGGTCTCACATTCCCGAGGGCAGGGACAAAGCATCAGAGACCCTGGACTTCGCTGAGCGGAAGGCAATGTGGGGGAGTGACCGAAAGCCATGGTGCTGTCAGCTAAGGCCCGAGTAGAGGAAGTGAGGGGTAATACTGAGAAGATGTTGGCAAGATATGCCATGAACACAGATAACCTGAGTCAACGTCCGGGACACTGAGGGGCTGTCCCTCCAGGGACTGGTCTACCCTGGCCTTGAACCGGCTATAGCATGCCTTCCCAGCACAGCCCCCGACTGCCTTCTAAGAGGGCTGGGTAAAAGGACGTGCCTGCTCCCCCTAGGCTCTGACAAATGGCAAGGATGCCAACAGTCAAACAGACCGAGCTTCTTGGAAACACCGGATGACAGGATTACCCCCTCCCTCAGTCCCGCATTCTGCTGTATTTCACAGCTAAGTGCCATTCCCTTGGTTTGAAAAGACAGTTGGGATTGCAGAGATCCACACCCCCCAGCCTAGCAGGATGTCCTTCCAGTACACACTGGCCAGGAGGAGCTGAAGGTGTTGACAAACTCACGGGAAGCCACTTATGAACAAGCTGGCCACGTCTGGGAAACTGAGTGAAATGATGTCATCAAAATTACCTACTTGGTAAATGTTAAAATCTATAAGGCAGGACACATGTGTGCGCGCACACAGCCCTACACAGGAAAATGGTGATCACAGGAAATAAGATCTACCTTCGATAGAGAAAGATTAACCAAAGACTCTCTGGTCACTTCATGCTCCAAAACCCAGAACATGGTGAAATCGTTATTCAAGGTCAGCCTCAGCCCCGCGAGTCCTCTGGGAACAAGGGCAGGCAGCTTTTAATAGCCAAATCTCCCCCTTCCGAATCACTGCACTTACAAAGAGTCAGTCTCCCAACCCGAACCCTAACCGGACACACCGCGGTCGCCCCTCCACCCCGAAGCTAGGATTATGGGTAAAGAGAACCCCGGAGAAGCGAAGTCTTCGGAGCCCAGGCAGAGGGCGAATTAACGCTGCGAGGGCAAAGTGAACCGTGGGCTGCAGAACCGGGGTTTCATTTCCACCCTGATGAAAAGTAGAATCCTCATGCTGTCGCTGAACCGACAGAACAGCTTCTGGTATTTTCAGAACTGATGCACATACTTTTGAGAGTCGTACATTTCCTGTTATAAAAAAAGTTCTTCTCAGGCAGGATGGCCATGGCCCTAGCCTGCCGCCCCCTCCCCGCCCCTGAGGCTGTGCTGCTGAGGTCAGGTGCCCTGCTTTGGAAACCATCTCCAAAACACCAGAGCGTCACTGCCCCAGCTCTGAGCAGGACTGACCCCAGCCCTCTCCATGACGGCGCTCGGTGGCCTCTGTTTCCACAAGCTCCCCGGAGCCCAGGGCCACCCCAGGACAGCCGTGCCGGCAGGAAACGAAACTCCCTCTGATCTCCCTCCTGTTGTCAAGCATCGCATTTCCTTCCTAGTCGGCCCTACAACCTTCCCCGGCCCTGGAGCCATAGGAAAAGCTATCATAGCAAATGCAAACCCAAGCCTCCGGGCGCTGCCACCACTGTGTACCCAGCCATCGCAGGCCTGTCCCTCCGGGTCCACCCAGAGGTGCTGCCGCCCCAGCCCTCCCGGAGGCCTGGCAGCCAACCCCCAAGGCGGCTCACACGGCACAGGCTGATCTGGGCTCCTCTTTTCCCAGAAACTTCAAGATTTCCAAATGATATTTACATCTCCGATGACATCAGTTTATGTTTCCATTTAAATATAAAAATTAACTGTCGATGCCAGTGTGGATCACATCCACTCTTCCCTAATTATAGCCTTCCACCAGGCTGCCGGCCACTCCAGCTCCAGCGCAGGAAGCAAATGGACTATTTGTCAAGCAGGACAGCTTCAGCTAAACAGGGTGGGGGCAGAGGGCACACAGCCACGCTCATCTGGGGCCAAAGAGGGGGAGAACACGCTGCCGGCAGCCTACAGGCCAGGCCCAAAGTCCCAGGCTTTGCAAACCACATGGTGCCTTCAACAGGCTGCACAGGAGCCCTGCTGTCCCACGTAAAAGGGGCCTGAAAGTCCCCTCTGAGCCCTGCAGGGAGAGGCCCAGCCCCACCCAGCTGCTGAGAAACAGGAGTCCCTCCAGCACCTGGGTCTCCTCCTTCAGGAAGCATCTGGTCACTTGGTCCCCTGCACAGACTGGCTCACCCCCAGCTGAGGCAAGCCTGCATTTAGAGGGGACCTGAAAGGCCCATATTCACTCCAAAACGCACAGACTAGGCACCTACTGTGTTCCAGGCCTTGAGGTCACAATGGGTGACAAGACGAGATATGGGGTAAGGCTGGGTGAGGGGAGATTGAGAGAAGCTAGGAATGGCCTCTACGGTCCTAGGGATGAAATCCAGGGGGTCTTTCAACTGGGGATGGAGAAAAAGGTCACACCTTTACTTCTGTTAACCTCTAAGTGAATTGTGCCTCATACAGACAAGGTAAAGGACCCCTTGGTCTACGGGAAGCCAACTGCAATTTCTACTGGAGAGATGCAGAGGATTAGGAATTTGAACAACAGTGAGGGGAAGAAAGAAACTGTCAGAAAATCAGGATGGGCTTCCTGGAGGAGCCACTGTTTCCTGGAAGGCCCCAAGAATTGCTTCATTCTAAAACTATCTCATGGGGCACTTGATGCTCCGGGGCTCTATGTTGAGCCCAAAGAGAGCACTTTTCTGAGTTTCTAGAGATGTGGGGAATAGCTAAACTCCAAGACCTGAGAGAGATTTTAAATAAGTTGGGGCCAGCAGGATCCCTGCACCCAGGCCTTTGCATCAGCCCTTCTGCCCCAGGCCAATTCTGCTGGCCCTGGGCCAAGCCCACCCTGCAGACAGCCTCCTACTCAGACCACAGCTTCTCTTCTGTCCAGACTGGGGCTGGAAGGAGCAGTAGAGGCAAGATTGGAGACAGGAGTTGGCATTCCGGGCTGCCATTTATTAGCTCAGTGCCCTTGGCCATGCCACTTCCCCTCTGTGACCCTCTTGCACCTGTAGCACAGGAAGGCCTGCTGCATCTATAAAATGCTGCACCGCATCCCGCCAAGTGCGAGACCTGCACCATCTCCCTCAACTTCCACACTCCCTCACATCCTAGAAATGAGGAGTCTCATCTTAGAGACCAGGCTCGATGCGTCACAGGAGAAGTAGAGTCATCAGGATTCATGACAAAACCTGTCTGGCCTGCCACCAGGGCTTCCAGACCAGCCTTTTGCAAAGACCTGGGAGAGAACTGATCTGCAATGTCAAC